GGTGCTTACCTAAACACTCCCAGCAAAAAAAGTGCGCATTTCCACAATCCACTGCATGAGAAGTCAATGGGAGGGCTTTCCTGTTGGCGTAGGTTTTTCCGGGGGTTTGTTCGGCTTCCGGTAGTCGCACGGCTCGTCCGCATGCAGGAATCGGACACCATTTGATCGTCTTGTTGCTTTCCACAAAGGCCTGGAATTGAGGCTGTTCAAGTTCCTGTGTTGGGGCTTTTGCAGAAGCGCAGCTCACGTACTTTGATGTCAAATTGCAAGTATCTTCGTGCCATCTCCGGACTGACGAGTTTTTCGATAAACTCAACTGGAACCAGGATGTGGCACTCAAACGCTGGGCATAAAATGTGATGAGCATCTCCGTCTTGGATTTTAGTTGTCAGGTAACTTTGCCAGCAGCTCTTGCAAAAGAAATGCCTGCAGGACATTTTCAATGGCTGCTCCCAGTCGTCGGGTATGAGATTCAGGCAAATTTCGCACTGGAAAGATCAACGCTTTTAGCCAAAGAGTCCTCAACAGTTCCACACTCACCATCACTTCCTGCCGATCCGAGCCCGTGTCAGTTGATGCACTTGAGTCTATAGATCCAGCGTAATTTAACACTGATGAAGGGGCTTGAACTCCCGCTAATTCGCAGCACTCCACAGGATTTCTCATCCACTTTTCCAGCAGCAATTCCCTGGACCATTCTGGAACAAGCAACATTTTCTTTGACCGGCTCGGATTTTCGTCAGTTGCCATTACCATTGTCTCGCAAAAGGGCCTCAGCGGTGAAAAGCGGGATCTTGAGCATGTCCGAAGTATCCACTAGCAATTGGTCTTTAGCTTCCTGCAAATCTTGACTCCTTAGTCCACTGTACACTTCCTCTTGTTCGTTTATCAGATTTTCCTCTACGTTTATCACGTCGGGGTTTTCAGCCTGATCAAAACGCACATTTTTGTACAGAGTGTTTCAGTATTTCGTCGTCAGACTTTTCAAAGAAATAATTTTCTACTTACAAAAACCATTCGGCTCTCGAGAAATCCTGCGATGTGGTCATGGCGTGCCCTCATTGCCGAATCGCACGGAGTCAATTTTTCGTTGTTTTCCAGAAATAATGGGGCTCCATTGTAAACCAGCAATTCGACACAGCGGCGCAAGCCAAAATGAGCAGCATAATGCAAAGCGGTATTTCCGGTCTGAAAGTTACAAAACCAACAAACCGCACAATAATTAGTCGGCATTTTTATACTCGAACATCCTCTAAGGATGGGGAGAAAATCTCAAGTCGCTACTGGCTTTATTTCACGAGTTACGAATTTTCACAAAATGAAGAGCAACTTAAGATGACCGCCAAATTTGAGAACATTGACTCAGTGGGTAAAAATCAGAAAACAGAGCGATTTTTATGAAAATTTTAGCATCTATCAAATCAAACGCCTGCAAAGGAGTGAAAAAGTTCCAAGTCCCATGTTGCTTTCCTTTGTTCACAACGAGTTTTTAAAGAATCGAGGGCAGTTTGGGAAAATCGTCCAATTTGAAGCCCACATTTACTCAACAAGCAAAAATCATCAGCTTAACCAATTTCTATAAAACTTTCTTCATTTTTCAAATAAAACTCCTGCTAACGAATGTAGAAATTTCAAGTAGCATCTAGCTTTATTTCACCACCAACGAATTTTTACAAAATAAGGAACAACTTAAGAAACCCGTCCAATTTGAGAACATTGACTCAGTGAGTAAAAATCAGAAAATTGAGCAATTTTTAGGGAAATTTTAGGATCTATCAAACCAAACGCCTGCAAAGGAGTGAAAAAGTTCCAAGTCGCAATTTGCTTTCCTTTGCTCACAACGAATTTTTAAAGAATCGAGGGCATTTTGGGAAAATCGTTCAATTTGAAGCCCACATTTACTCAGCTAACAAAAATCATCAGTTTCACCAATTTATATAAACGTTTCTTCATTTTTCAAATGAAACTCCTGCTAACGAATGTGGAAGTTTCAAGTCGCTTCTGGCTTTATTTCACCACCAACGAATTTTTACAAAATAAGGAGCAACTTAAGAAAACCGTCAAATTTGAGAACATTGACTCAGCGAGTAAAAATCAGAAAACAGAGCTTTTTTTATGAAAATTTTTGCATCTATCAAACCAAACGCCTGCAAAGGACTGAAAAAGTTCCAAGTCGCAATTTGCTATCCTTTGCTCACAACGAATTTTTACAGAATCGAGGGCAGTTTGGGAAAATCGTCCAATTTGAAGCCCACATTTACTCAACAAGCAAAAATCATCAGCTTAACCAATTTCTATAAAAGTTTCTTCATTTTTCAAATGAAACTCCTGCTAACGAATGTGGAAATTTCAAGTCGCTTCTAGCTTTATTTCACCACCAACGAATTTTTACAAAATAAGGTGCAACTTAAGAGAACCGTCAAATTTGAGAACATTGACTCAGTGGGTAAAAATCAGAAAACAGAGCAATTTTTATGAAAATTTTAGCATCTATCAAATCAAAYGCCTGCAAAGGACTGAAAAAGTTTCAAGTCGGAATTTGCTTTCCTTTGTTCACAAYGAATTTTTACAGAATCGAGGGCAGTTTGGGTAAATCGTTCAATTTGAAGCCCACATTTACTCAGCTAGCAAAAATCATCAGCTTAACCAATTTCTATAAAAGTTTCTTCATTTTTCAAGTGAAACTCCTGCTAACGAATGTAGAAACTTCAAGTCGCTTCTAGCTTTATTTCACCACCAAAGAATTTTTACAAAATAATGAGCAACTTAAGAAAACCGTCAAATTTGAGAACATTGACTCAGTGAGTAAAAATCAGAAAACAGAGCGATTTTTATGAAAATTTTAGCATCTATCAAATCAAACGCCTGCAAAGGACTGAAAAAGTTCCAAGTCGCAATTTGCTTTCCTTTGCTTACAACGAATTTTTAAAGAATCGAAGGCAGTTTTTAAAAATCGTCCAATTTGAAGCCCACATTTACTCAGCTAGGAAAAATCATCAGTTTTGCCAATTTTTATAAAATTTTCTTCATTTTTCAAATGAAACTCATGCTAACGAATGTAGAAAATTTGAGGCCGTTACTGGCTTTATTGCTCAAGATATGATTTTTAAAAGTCGAGGACAGTTTGCAAAAATAATCCAATTTGATTGAAATATTTACTACACTAGTAAAAATCCGGAGTTGAACAAGTTTTCCCAAAAAAATCGGTATCTTTGAAGTCAGACGCTTTCTAAGAAATGCAAAAACCTCAAGTTTTCACCTGCCTTGGTTCGGAAGGTACACATTTTTAAGCATTGAGCGCATTTGGGTGAAAGCCCAAATGTGGCTGAAACGTCCTTTTGATTGATCATATTCGCTGTGCGAATTCAGGCAAAATTAAACAAAAATTTGTCCAGTTGTTGGACTAAATACTAACGAAAATCCTTTCATTTGAGTGGAAAATTGGGTAGTGAATACTAAGCTTTCAAACTAAGGCACTCTTACATCGTCTTGAGCTGCCAAGTCCACTTTTTCTCTTCCACCAGAGGGTAAAATGGCTCCTCTCCAATGCAAAAGAAACTGAACGCAAATCGCCCTTCTATCTTGCGATCCATTGATGCTGTTTGGGGATATTTGGCAGGTGGCATGCAATGCTGTCTCATTCAGAGCATTCCGCTTGTTTGGATTCCCTCCCAAGTCGGTTAAAAATGCCCTTACAAGATGCTTCATTCCTAAAAAAATACATGCAAATAATGTCTTCGAAGGGCCGTGAAAATCTAAAGTTGCTACTGGCTGTCGTTTGCACGTTACGAGCTTTTTATGCTCGCAACCTGCTTTTATGCTATGCAAACATAATTTAAATCTATTTTGATGAAGCTTCACGTGTCGATAGCGTCAAGTGTCTTTAACAAAATATGAAAAATGTGTGTTTGCTCCGTTTTGGGAGGGAAATTTTTTTAAAGCAAGAGCGCTTTGGGGGGAAAAACAGAATTTGAGCAATTTCAAAATCCTTCTTGTTAAACGTCTTCTAAAGGTTGAAAAATTTGCAAGTCGCTACTGGCTCTCTAGTCTTACCTAACAGTTGGGCAGACTTTCATGAAACTTTAACAGAATTTAGGGTCAACTGTGTCCTAACAACGAGAAAGAATTCAAGTAGCTACATGCATTAGCTCAATGCAGAAGTTATGAATTTTTAAGGAATAGAGCGCAGTTGGGTTGCGAAAATGGCTCGTCAGTTCCAAAAGCTCCCCATTCATTTAACGTTAAAGCTATTCACAAAACACGAAGCAAAAAATGTTGTTTTGTAAGAAAGACACATACATAAAACGTTCTACATAAAGGATTCAAATTTATGAAAATGCCGATGCTTTTTACAAATTTTCGCCTGTCAGCAACCTTTTGTTATTCCATCATTCGCAACAGAGCTTTAACGCAGAAAGCTCATACATAATTTTCGAACAGCTCGCAGAAATCGATCTTCTTTGAAGTAGGAAAAGGTGAATCTGGAATAAATTTAGCATCAATGGAAGCAGGGATGGTCAGGGTTAAGTGGAACTAAATGTAGAGGTGAAGGCAAAACGTTCGTGCTGCGTTCAGAAAGGCAACAGCTTTTTTCGTTATTAAGTTGCTGCTATTCGACATTGAGGGTCAAAGCGGAAAATTGCTCGCTTAATCCATAAAGTCGCTCTCTGCTGAAGGTATTTAACTCTGGAAAGAACACGCTCATTTCGTTAATAAAGCGGACAAAACAGGCTCTGTTTATTAAAGTTCAAATAACTAAACAAAAGTGCAGACAACAAATTTATTGGATCGAGCGGGATGTTATTTAAAAAGTAAGTTTGTTGGACAACAGGGAATGAAACATTTGTTTGCCAACTAAAGCCAGATAATAGTCAGGTCCAATCCTTAGAGATGCTAATCCATACACCCACCAGTCCTGATTAAATTTGCTTTCTAGTTTTAGTTTGTTTCCGCCTGTTACCAAATAACATCACATAAATTTTAATGAGGGAACGTATAGAGTTTACATCCCGGTTCAATTTGTTACTAATTTCCATGTTGAGATATTAATTTACTCGATGTTAAAATGATTTAAACTTTAAACGATTTCAAGTTGAAACAGAGCCAACAAAAATGAGTCTGAGAAGCTTTCAGTGTGCGCTCTGTTTATTTGAGAAGCTTTAAAAAATGTGTTTTTTGGCCAAATTTAATTGAAAGCTGTGGCAGGACGGAATCAGAAGCTTGAAAACTTTGGGATGGAACCTGATTGTTTCTGACCACTCGAGTTCTTTGCCAACATTTTTGCGACTTTTACGACAGTAAGTTGGACAATCATTGATTTTCCAATGGTAATTTTGAAAAAATCAGTAACGACAGCCGAGTTTTTAAGCGCCGTCCATAAAGTTTCTGCACAATTTTCAAAACACATCTGAGCTTCATCTGGCTGAAATTCATTTCAATCCAAGGCAGCAATAAATATTTAGAAGCCTGCAAACGTTGGGATGGAAATTGATTGTTTCTGACCACTGCAGCTCTTTGGCAAAATTCATTGTGGTTTGAAAGTTTTTCCGGATATCGTGGCAAAATTTCAAACAGGGTGTTGGAAACGCATCGGGCTACTTTTACGCCAAATCTCATCGTGCTAAAGGCGGGCGCTGATTTTACAGATTTTTTCAAACTTTTAACTTAACAAACCGCCTGGCAATTTTGCCAGGACAAATAGATTATCGATCCGAACCTCTCAAGATTCTTCCATAAAACTCCTGCAGAATTTGACATGTTGCTTCAGGCCAAATTGGAATATCCGCGTGAAAAAGTGGGCTTCAATTAAATAAGCAAAGAAATTCGAAGATTTTGCATGTTAAGGAATCGCAAAAGTCACTTTGTTCGTTACACTTTTGAAAAATCTTCAGGGCTCTCTTAAGAGCACGTTAATTTAATTATGGGAAAATGTAGTTCCGCGTGAAAAAGTGCGCTTCAATTAAATAAGCAAAGAAATTCGAAGATTTTGCATTTTAAGGAATCGCAAAAGTCACTTTGTTCGTTGCACTGTTGAAAAATCTTCAGGGCTCTCTTAAGAACACGTTAATTTAATTATGGGAAAATGTAGTTCCGCGTGAAAAAGTACGCTTCAATCAAATAAGCAAAGAAATACGAAGATTTTGTATGTTAAGGAATCGCAAAAGTCACTTTGTTCGTTGCACTGTTGAAAAATCTTCAGGGCTCTCTTAAGAGCACGTTAATTTAATTATGGGAAAATGT